AGTCATGGAGCAAGACAGTGTCTTAAAAATTTTTTTAATTAAAAAGAAGCTTAAATTCAATTAAATGTTACATAGCATTTCTTGTAGACATTAATTAGTGGCCAGACAACACATATCTTCCCTATTATAGATAACATTTGAAAACCAATTAATGCAATCCATCATATGAACAGACTAAAGAAGAAAAATCACACGATAATCTCAATAAACTCATGAAGCTACTTTTTAAAAATGTAATATCCATTCATGATTTTAAAGAGAAACTTTCACCAAACTAGGAATACAAGTAAATTCCCTCAATTGATAATAGGAATCTACAAAAAGCCCACAGTTAACAACATACTTAAGGGTAAAAGATTGAATGCTCTCCTCCTAGAATCAGGAAAAAGGCAAGGATCTTCACTCTCACCACGCCTATTCATCATTATATTGGCAGTCCCATTCAGTTCAAAAACTCAAGGAAAAGAAATAAAATTCTGTATCTTCTATATATCCGAACAGAAGATATAAAATGGTCTATATTCATTGATAAGATGATTATGTATGCAGAAAATGCCAAAGAATCTAGAAAAAAAAAAGCTACTAGAACTAATATAAGTTCTTTTCCTTCCTTTCTTTTTCTTTCCTTCTTTCTTTCTTTTCTTTCTTTCCTTCTCTCTCTCTCTCTCTGTCTCTCTCTCTCTTTCCTTCCTTATTTTTTTTTAACAGTGTCTCACTCTGTCACCCAGACTGGAGTGCAGTGTGGCACGACCTCGGCTCACTGCAACCTCTGCCTCCTGGGTTCCAGTGATTCTCCCGCCTCAGCTTCCCAAGTAGCTGGGACTACAGGCATGTGCCACCACGCCTGGCTAATTTTTAGTAGAGATGGAGTTTCGCCATGTTGGCCAGGCTGGTCTCACACTTCCAACCTCAAGTGATCTGCCCGCCTCAGCCTCCCAAAGTGCTGGGACTACAGGTGTGAGCCACCGCACCAAGTCTATAAGTTATTTTCACAAGCTTTCAGGAAATCATAAGATAAAAGGAAAATTAATTTTATTATCATATACTAGCAGTTAACATTTAGAAATTGAGATATTTAAAATACCATTCACAATAGCATCAGAAACATGCACTAGAGATACAGTCAACAAAATATTTATAAGACCTGTTCTCTGATAACTACAAAGCACTGCTAAGAGTAACCAGAGAACTAAATAGGTGAAGAAAAAAAAAATACTAGGTTCATGGATTAAAAGTTCAATATTGTGAACATGATTATTTTCTGCAAATTAATCTATATATTCAACTCAGTTTAATCAAAATCTCAGCAGGTATTCTTGTAGAAATTATCAAGTGGATTCTAAAATTTAGATAAAAATGCAAAGGATAATAGGCAAATTAATCTGGAAAAACAAAGTTGGAGAATTCACAAAACCTGATTTCAATACTTACTATAAAACTACAATAATCAAAACAGTTTGGTGATAGTATAAGGCATATAGAACAATTGAACAGAAGAAAGAGGCCAGAAATATACCCACATATATAAAGTAACTTTATTTTCAACCAAAGTGCAACCATCACTCAATGAGTAAAGCATAGACTTTCAATAAATGATGCTAGAACAACTTCAAATCCATATGGAAAAAATAAAATTCCACCTTAACCTCACATAATAACACAAATTAAGTTGAAACTGAATGTAAAAATTGAAACTAATTGTAAAACCTAAAATATTAAAACTTCTGGAAGAAAACATAAAAATATATATGAATTTTGGGTAGACAAAAACTCAGGACATGAAACTAGTAAACTATCATAATTATTTAAAAAAAAATAAATCAGACTTCATCAAAATTTCAGCCTTGTGCTCTGTAAAAAATAGCTTCAAGAAAACAAACTGGCAAACCACAGAATGGAAGAAAATAGTCACAATTTATCTATGTGATAAAGGACTGGTATTCAGAATATATAAAGAACTCTTCCAATTCAACCAGAAAAAGATAAAAAAAAAAAACCCCGCCTCCCAGGTTCACGCCATTCTCCTGCCTCAGCCTTCAGGCGCCTGCCACCACACCCAGCTAATTTTTTTTTCTTTTTTTTTTTTTTTTTTTTTTTTTTTTGTATTTTTAGTAGAGACGGGGTTTCACTGTGTTAGCCAGGATGGTCTCGATCTCCTGACCTTGTGATCTGCTCGCCTTGGCCTCCCAAAGTGCTGGGATTACAGGCATGAGCCACCACACCAGGCCAAAAAAACTCAATTTTTAATAAACACTCAAATAGACACTACACAGAGGAAGATACATAAATGATGACTAATATGCACATGAAAAAATAATTTAACATTATTAATTATTGGGAAATGCAAATTAAAACCACAATAAAATACCAACACAAAACCCTTGAATAACTAAAATTAAAGACTGATTATACCAAGTGTTGGCAACAATACGTACTAACTGAAACTATTACACATTTCTGTTAGAGATATAAAATATTATAAGCAGTCTGAAAACTATTTGGGAGACTATAAAGTTAAACATATACTTATCATGTGACCCTGCAGTTCCACCCTTAGGTATTTTCAAAGAGAAATAAAAGCACATATCCAAAGACTTGTACGTGAATGCTCATAACAGCTTTGCGAATAATAGCCTCCACATGGAAACAACCTGAATGCACACCAATGGATGAATGGATTTTTTAAAATTGTAATATATATGTAGAGTGGGACATTATTCAGCAATAAAAGGAGTAAACTACTGGTAAACTCAGCAACATGAATGAATCTCAAAAACATTATTCTGACTGAAGAAAGCCAATTCCTCCCCCCTCAAAAAAAAGTTTTATAATGACTCCTTTCATGGGAAACTCTAGGAAAAATAAATCCAATCTACAATGATAGAAAATAGATCAGTGGTCTAGCCCTGGTGGAAGTGGGACTGAGAACATTTTGAGGTAATGGAGATGTGGTGGTGGTTACAAGGGCATATGTATGTGTCTAAACTCATCAAACTATATAGTTAAAATCTGTGCATTTTAAATGATAAAGGTTTGAGATGATGAATATACTAATTACCCAGATCTAATCACCCACTGTCCTCCCACTGTTCATCACACACATTCTCGATAAAGAAACTATTTTTTGTAAATGAATAAATAAATAAATAATAAAACATGGGCATTTATTATGCCTAAATTAGACCTTAATAAAGTTGATTTTTGAAAAAGAAAGACTGGTTACTGATTAACTTAAAGGTAGAACATATAGACCTGTCAGTACTTTGGCAGTGCTTACAGTTAGGTTGGGAAGGACCTACATTCTAGCTGCACTGAGTACGTTTGATTTGCCCAATTGCATATGAGACATCTTGCCCTCTAATACCTTTTATTGTAGTTAAAGAATATAGTCTTGAGGATCATTCACTATTGGCAAGACACATTACAAGTCACTGCCACAGCTAATGAGGAGACTCTTTTTTACCCCTAAAATCCTTTGTATTTGGCTATGGAGAAGACCATCAAACATAAGGAACCTTCACTTTAGGGTGTCTCTGGTGCACAGATAAACTGGGAGATAAAACGTAAGGAAACAAGTGCCCATAATAGATCCCAGATCACTACCAAAGCAAGGAAGTCTATGGAATCTGAGATAGAAAGAATAAATATGGTCTAAAATCCATGACTGCAAGTAGCGTTCAGGGATGAAATATGCCAAGTATAACTTTTGAGGTTGCAATATACATGATAATGCCTTACAACAGTGTTTCCAAGGATTGGGATAAGTACTAGTGGTGGTACGTGGAATTACTTTAAGAGTTTTTCTGAGATGAATTGGGATGGCAAACAAACATGATATTAAATAACACTGAGTCATATTATGATTCCTTCTCTTATTCTCTTAGTTTTTTTGGATTTTGTAACAAAAAGTCTCATTTCCTGCTAATATGTCTTATTCTTCTGTCTTCTCTGTTTTAAAAAGGAGAAAATGCAAATACCTAACTGAAACGCAGGAGCATTTTTTGTTTGTTTACATAGTTATCTTCTATTTAGGGCAAGTTTTTAAATTTGTGATAGTGATACTATATTTTATACAATAAATGTTTTTCAATTAAAAGGCGGTTAGCTTATTTTAAAAATAGGTAAAAAGTACGTTAGTGGTATACTGATATGATGACATATGAACACCTGAGCTTGGATAACATTGCCTTAAAATGTTAATTTGTAAGGAAGTATATGTATCTCTGTATAGATACATCTATATTGATAATCATTAAATTATTGTTATATTAAAAATATTAAAGAAGTTCAATAGCAGGATTATTTTCACATTGTAAACTAGTTTTAAAGTCAGAATTACATGCCCCTTAATGTCTCCCAAAGTTTCAGATCCCAGTTACTGATAAAGGGCCAGATCAGGATTTTTAGCATCTTATAAATTGGGGTAAAGCACTGTATAATTGGACGAAAGGCAGAAAAATATCTGAACAATGATGAAGGGTCAAATTCCACTCTGCCTCTATCTCTCTGAGGTGTGCTCTCACTTGAATGTGGGTAGATGGAGAAGATATGCAGAGGATGCCCCTGAAAAAAAGATTCTGTCCCCAGAAAAGTTGGCAATCTGCTATTTTTAGTTATGCTCTTTTTCTTCTCAGTATATTTCTCAATGTCCTTTACACGTGATCTCAGCCAAAAGGCCGAGAAGCGATCTCAATTTCTTTTTTAAAAATCCAAAAAAATTTACATTTGACTTTAGGTCCATTAATCATTTCAAAAATACATCACGTGGACAACTTTCTTCAAAATTGTTACATTGTTGTCAATGTTTTGACAATGATGTGCAATTTTTTAAAAACTCAACCTCAGTAGACTCTAGAGAATTTTACCAGCCAAAATCAAAAACAGAACTGTAAAACAGATTTCCTTATTTAAAGAAACATAAGACAGTTTGATTCCTACCATTTCTTATAGTTTTCCAAGAGTAAAATTAAATTTGGAATGAAGAAAGATAAACCCCTTACCTGTTGGAAGGTGCAGCGTTATGTTGTTGCAAAAATCTGTGAAGCAGCATTCGGTTTTGGTAACATTGTTGGAACTATGACAGAAGACTTGAGCATTCAGTTCTGGAAGGGAGACACAGGATTTGATCACCTGTTCTTTTCCATTGGTTAGCATGACTGATGCCCAACATGCTCCTTCTGTTTGGCAGGTAAAGTTTGAAGAATCACACAAAAGACATACACACTTCAGTCCTGGAAAGAGTAAGGCAAAAAGATTTAAAATACAAAAGACATCATGCTACTTTACTTGATAATACCTCAGAATATAAATTCAATCTTAATGAAAATGGAAAAGGGGTTTAAATAAAAACACTTGCTAAACACATGCTAAGCTCTTACTCCCGCTCCATCATGTATTTCACTAAACATCCTGTCCAATTATCATTTACTATTGCTAATATTTTTGTGATTTATTCAGTTGCTACTATATTTAAAGCATTTTTCCCATCCATGCTCTAAATACCCCCTTATTAAGTTCAATCAGCTCATTCCTAAATCAATAGCTCCTAGGAAATGCTAGGAAACAGTATCACAGCAACCAAGAGGAGCTGTCCAGCAACACTCACAGAACATTAAAGTGGGGTTATGGCAGCTGTGTAACCAAACAATTCAGTGTGTTCTGTTCATTTGCCCTCCTTCCTTTAAACTTTTAAGCAAATGTGCTAAACGCAAAGCTAACCATAGACATTTATGTCTCTAAAAAATAGTTGTGACACTTTATATTTATTTTCTGTGATACTTTAACACAATTGTTGTCATAGTTCCTTTAAGACATTGGTGAGCCACTATATTTCCCCTCTTCACTAAAGAACATATATTAGAATGAATCATTTGAACAGACACCATGACTTTCAGGTAATTTTCTTTAATTCACACATCCAGTCCATAAAGTAAGGCACACCAATAATAGAATTTAGAATATCGATACCAATACAACTGTGAAAAATTACACTTTGTTAAACTAATCTGTTCACTATCTACACCTCTCCAACGTTCTCCACTTATTACACACACACACAGTCACCACTAAGTCACATGTCCAAAGCAGTGCCTATTTATGTTTTGATGTAAAATATTCATCAGCATGAAGCATCTAGTGGTTGTGAGTTATTTATTCAAATTTTATTTAAATATATTGTTTCTAAATAGCATAATACTAAATAAGCTTTGTATTACTGTTTTAAAATTCTTTAAATTTCAATAGCTTTAGGAGTACAAGTTGTTTTGGGTTACATGGGTGAACTGTATAATAATGAAGTCTCAGCTTTCAGTGTACCATCACCTGAATAGTGTACATTGTACTCAATAGATAATTTTTCATTCCTAACCTCCCTCCCACCCTCTCCCACCTCCTGAGTCTCCAATATCCTTTACATCTCCCTGTTTGCCTTTGCATACTCATAGCTTAGCTCCCTCTTATTAGTGAGGACATACAGTATTTTGTTTTCTGCTTTTGAGTTACTTCACTTAGGATAATGGCCTCCATTTCCATCAAAAGTCGCTGCAAAAGACATTATTTCATTCTTTTTTATGGCTGAGTTGTAGTCTATGGTATATACACACACACACACACACACACAAACATACACACCATATATATACGTGTGTATATATATACATGTGTGTATATATACGTGTGTGCATATATATATACATGTGTGCATATATATATATGCACAGACACATACACACATGTTTTTATTCATTTATTGGTTGATGGGCACTTATGTTGATGCTGTATCTTTGCAATGTGAACTGTGCTGACATAAACATACATGTGCAGGTATCTTTTTGATAACCCAATAGTGGGACTCCTGGATCAAATGGCAGTTCCATTTTTAGTTCTTTGAGAACTCTCCATACTGTTTTCTATAGACATTGTAATAATTTAAATTCCCATCAGCAAGGTATAAGCATTTTCTTTTCACCATATCCACACCAACATCTATTGTTTTTTGACTTTTTAATGGTGACCATTCTGGCTGGGGTAAGCTGATATCTCACTGTTATTTTAATTTGCATTTCCCTGGTGATTAGCGGTGTTGAACATTTTTTCATATATTTGTTAGCCATTTGTATGTCTTCTTTTGAGAAGTGTTTGTTCATGTCACTTGCCCACTTTTTAATGGGATTATTTGCTTTTTTCTTGCTGATTCTCTTGAGTTCCTTGTAGATTCTGGATACATCCTTTTTTGGATGTATACTTTGCAAATATTTTCTGCCATTCTATAGGTTATCTGTTTATTCTATTATTTCTTTGTGCAGAGATATAGATGACACAAACATATGGAAAAACATCCATGCTCATAGGTTGGAAGAATCAATGTTGTGAAAATGACCATGCTGCCCAAAGTATTCTACAGATTCAGTGCAATTCCTATCAAAATACATCATTTTTCACAGAATTAGAAAAAAAATCCTAAAATTTTTATGGAATCAAAAAAGAGCCTGAATAGCCAAAGTAATCCTAAGCAAAAAGCGCAAATCTGGAAGCATCACATTACCCAACTTCAAATTATTCTATAAATACAGGGCTACAGTAACCAAAATGACATGGTACTGGTATAAAAGTAGACACATAGACCAATGAAACAGATTAGAGAATCCAGAAATAAAGCTACATACTTACAACCAACTGATCTCCGACAAAGCATACAAAAACACACACTGGGGTAAGGATACTCTATTCAATAAATGGTGCTTGGAAAAGTGGATAGCTACGTGTAGAAGAAACTGGATCCTCCTCTCACATTATACAAAAATTAACTCAAGATGAATTAAAGACTTAACTCTAAGCCCTAAAACAAGAAAAATTCTAGAAGAAAACCTACAAAGACAAACTATTCTCAACATTCCCTAGGTAAAACATTTATGACTAAGACCCCAAAAGCAAATGCAACAAAAACAAAAATAAATAAATATATTATTAATGTTATGAACTTTTCGTTAAATCACAACTGTCCTCCCATAATTATCTAAATGTGCAAATTTTTACTATATAATCATTGTCAGTAAAACTAAAGTTTTAAATTGCTAATCGTTCAAATGGAAGTTGATTTTACACTTGTAAAATATTTGATACATAAATGACAACTTTTACTTAACTTCAAATACAGATATGGGAGCAAAAATGGGTACTATTCCTATATAACTGAATATTTAACAAAGAACAAATTCTATATCAATCATATAGAAATTATTCTCTTCTATCAATAATTTTTCTTAACTGATGAAGCATCATTTCTAAAAACATTTTTAATACTGGTATCCTAAGGGAAATACAATCTTAAAATAAAATACTGTTTTGTTATCAACACTGAACCAAGCATAACAGCTCACTTTCCTATTTATTCCAGTGGTGATCAACATTAATAAATATACTTTGTCATCAATATTTATGTGATACAGAAGAACCATATATTCTAACTTGATGGGGATTCTATAGAGCTATATAGATAAAATCTAGTGCTTTAGAACATGTTTCAAGGCACTTTCCTTGCAAAAAGAGAACTCATGGGCAACCATTCATCTAGGTTTCTACTGACAATGAAATCTTTCTAGCATTCTCCAGTTCCAATCTTAGAAATTTGATTATACTGGCTTTGAAATCTTAGGCATTACTTTGTCTCCTGTACCTCCATTTTCTTATATGAAAGGCAGGACTAATAATAATATATCTCCTCATAACGTTGTTGTGGAGCATAAATTAGTTAACCTGTGTAAAGCCCTTAGACAAATCTCTGGCACATAGGAAATACTATATAAAGACTTAGGGACTATCTCTCCTACTACTGAAGGAGGTAAAGCCAGTTGCCTTATGCAAACAAGCAAAACAATCAAAATACATTTGTAACCTATAAAGGAATAGCCAAATGAACTAGGGTGCAGAGACCATTTAAAAGCCATAATAAAGAAATGCATCTCTTTCTGCTCTGTCAAGAGTGATTTGACTGCTTTCCTTCTTTTAATGACCCAGACTAGATTCTAGATGGTCACACAGCAGGTAGTATCTGGTGACGGTCCAGCCAAAGAATTCAGGAAAAGACAAAAGTTCCAGCCCTCACTCTGTCACTAACTTGCTGATTGACTTTGGAGAAGACATTTAACCTTACAGAGTCTCAATGTTGTTCTCTGAAAATAGAAAATGAATAGCATAGGGAAAGTGGGTCTAAAAATCTTAAACTCTTACATAACACCAATATTTTATGACCGTACTTATTTACACCTTATGGAAATCTACAATTACAAAATAGGAAAACTCATTTAATGTTAACTCAATTGCTGAACTATGGTTATTCTTCACTTTCATATTTTAAGGGGCTAAAGGTAGGAAAAAGAGTAACTCTTCCAACACACAATCTCAAACCATTTGTCACTAGACATTTCATCAGAATCTCCTTGGACGCTCTATTTCCAAGAGAAGCTTAGCAACTGACACAACCAACTAAAGAATATGAATCTGCTGAGTGAAGACAAACATAAAGCACTCAACAATTAAATATATGTTAGTTTCACATGCATTCATCATCTCATATAATCCCACTGCAACTGTGGGAGTTAGTTGTCACTATCTCCATTTCATATATAACAAAATGAGGCTGAAAAAGATAAAGTGACTGACTTATGTAACAGTCTCTGGACTAGTCAAGCAAAGGTACCATTTTTAATGGCACCTTACTCATGAAAGGTGCCATAAAAAAAAATGGGTATGTGAACAATTCTCCCACCCCACAAATTTCTAGCAATTATGAAAAAAATAGAATTCTAATACAGCAGAAAGAAGCTGTTAACGAATTAACAATTGAAAACTAGGATTCTGATCGGTATTATCCTAATAGCCTTTAAAACACAGTTGGTGTTTTTGAAACGAATTCTACCTACCTATTTTCTGAGGGGACATGCAGTCAAATAAAATTCAGTATCATGTGCCTTGCATCTAAAATAAATAATCTCACCTTACAGCTTTATCTAAATTCTGTATTAAGTAAGGCTCTGAGTACATAATCTGATACTTTCTTTTTGAAGCACTACTGGCTCCTTATAAAAATGATTACATAATAGTTCTTAGCAAGGAATTATGCAGATATTCACTAAATGTTTAACAAGCTATAAAAATTTACTTTGGTTAAAAGTAAAAGGTACAAATCTTAAGAATAATATAAACCTAGGTGATATAGTTAAGACACAAAGTG